ATTAAACATATAACAAAGAATGAAAAGTGTTATTAGAAATTATATCCTGGGCTGGGGATGTGGCTCAAGCGGTAGCGCGCTCGCCTAGCATGAGTGCGGCCTGGGTTCGATCCTCAGCACCACATACAAAAAAAAAAAAAACAAAGATGTTGTGTCCGCCGAAAACTAAAAAATAAATATAATTCTCTCTCTCTCTCTCTCTCTAAAAAAAAAAAAGAAAAGAAAAGAAATTATATCCTTCCTGATGTTTTAGCTGAGGAATGGTCAGACTATGCATTTACGCATTTCCATAACAAAGATCTTATTTTCAATTGTCTTTTTTTTTGTGGGGAGGGAGATTGCCAGAAATTGAACTCAGCGTACTCAACCACTGAGCCTCTTCCCCAGCCCTATTTTGTGTTTTATTTTGAGACAGGGTCTCACAGAGTTGCTTAGTGCCTCACCATTGCTGAGGCTGGCTTTGAATTCACAATCCTCCTGTCTCAGGCTCCCTAGCAGCTAGGATTACAGGTGTGTGCCGCTGTGCCTAGCTCAATTGTCTTTTTAAAATTCATATTTCCTACAATATCCATGGTTATGTTTGTTAAACTACATTATTTTACAAATATAATTCCTCAAAAATATATTAAAGGGGGCTGGGGTTGTGACTCAGCGGTAGAGTGCTCACCTAGCACAGGCAAGGCCCTGGGTTCGATCCCCAACACCATATAAAAATAAATAAATAAAGACATTGTGGTCCAACTACACAACTAACAAATATTAAAAAATATATATTAAATATTCCTAAATATTTTTGTTAACTTTTAACTTAAAAATTTCCTTCATTTCTTCAAGCCTTTTCCTGATTATATCTACTTATTTAGTTCATATTCCACAGGAAGAGGAGGTAGTGGGATTTGAATAAAAAGCTATAGTTTTGTGTGTATGTTTGTGTATGTGTATGCAGTACTCATAATTGAACCCAGGATTTTGCCCTGAGCTACACCCCCCCACCCCAAAACTATAGTTTTATTTCATAATCATTAGTCTTTATATTTAGTTTTATTAATATTTTCTTAATTATTATAGTTTTTCTTTCTGCTAATTGCATAAATTAACTATTTCTTTCCACAGCGTTTATTGTGTAGTATCTAACAGTCATTTTAGATATGTCATAGATACAGAGATGAATAAAATAAAAATAAATGAATAAATTTTCATTTATTTCTGATTTCTAATGCACTAAAGGGATTGTATTCAATGAAAAATTGAGAGTTGCCACTTAAATAATATTTTACAATGCAGAATTAATAATCATGTAAAAACCTTCCATGTGCTTTCAGCAATATGCACCATCATTCATAGTCTGTCTAAAAACCTAAACCTAATCTCAACCTAATTAATTCTCTAGACCTAAGTTCTAATTATAGGGAAAATGAGGGACCGAACAACAGGTAACATATCATGAATGAGTGATATACTTTGAGATTTAAAAAAAAAATCATAAGCATAAAAAGTGGAGTGTAATACCTTAGAAAAGAGAGAATAATTTTTTAAAATACAGTAAGTTAACCTAGAGTGGATTCTGATTAGAAAATAAATAGCTATAAAAACATCACTGGATGAATAGCTTTCAAGAATGTTTTTCTATTGTGATTATCAGGAAAAGTGCATGTATTTAAGGGTGAAATGTCATAATATTTTCAACTTATTCTCAAATGCTACAGAAACAATTCATCAATAATCAGATATAAAAAGTTAAAAGAAACAGATACAGCAAATAACATGAATGTAAACATGAGTTGCTGAATATTTCTTTCAAATTTTCTATATATCAAATAAAAATACAATTACAAATTTAGGAAAGGTCTCCAAGAAGACAATTTACTCCTTGCTATCCCATTACTATATCTTAAATGGTGAACACAGAATATAAATTGTTGGCTATTAATCAAATCATTATACACTCTAAATCATATACTTTTATTTCCAAAATTTTGTAAAATTTAATGGATGAGAGTCTTTGAGAATGTGTTCTAATTACACAACTAGACTCTTTACATAATAATTAACCAGCAATACAATCTGATAATAACTCGTATTTACTGAGTATAAGACCATATGCCCACATAATCTTCCAAGGTATGTGTACCACTTTCATCCCATAATAGGGCTATCATGTAGGTTCTTGAGTAGCATTTTATAAATGATGTCTGTAGATGATAATTATTTTGACAATGACAAATGGAGGTAAGGTGGGAGAATAGCACTGATAAGGCATGCATTATATGATATTACTGCCTATGTGACATTAACAAATTCATTCATAAGTTTTAAGAGTTTATAAATGAGTACTGGAAGGTGTAATGATTTAAAAATATGTCTGCAAGCCAGGCATGGTGGCACACCCATGTAATCCCAGTGACTTGAGAGGCTGAGGCAGGAGGATCACAAGTTGGAGGCCAGCCTCAGCAACTTAGTGAGGCCCTAAGCTACTTAGCAAGACTCTGTCTCAAAATAAAAATTTAAAGGGGCTGGGAATGTAGCTCAGTGGCAGAGCACCCTTGTGTTCATTCCCCAGTATCATAAACTCCCCAAACACAAAAAATGTCTGTGAATATTTTGACCTTCTTCTCTTTTAAAGGTGAAACTGAAGAAAAGAGACCAGTGGGTAAAAAGGGATAAGGGGAGAGGAAAGGGAGGAGCGGAGGTAAAGGAGTGGTTCTGAAGAATGAAACTGATCAAATTATGTTATGTATATGTACCAATATCACAATGGAACTCACCATTCTGTATAATTAATATATACCATTTAAAAAATGTAGAACTGAATTCCTCTTGAGTATAGGCTAGATTTATTGTCATGCTGCTTACAAACAGAATACGGCAGAGGTGACTTCCAAACCAAGAATATTAAAAAGATCATTTCTGAGCATAGCCAACTGTCATGTCACAGGTACACTTAAGAACCATAAGGAGAGCTAGGTGTGGTGGGACATGTCTGTAATTCCAGCAGCTCAGAGACTGAGGCAGGAGGATCACAAGTTCAAAGCCAGCCTCAGCAATTTAGCAAGGCCCTAAGCAATTTAGTGAGACCCTGTCTCAAAAAAAAAAAAGGGGGGGGGCTGGGGATGTCACTCAGTGGTAGAGTACTCCTGGGATCAATCCTCAGTACCAAAAAAAGGAAGAAGGAAGCATAAGGAGAGGCCCCATTGGAGAGGAAACAAATTGCCCCTGAAAACTTATCAGTCACATAACTAAGCTGTCTTTGAAAGCACATTCTCCAGCCTCTGTCAAGTGTTTAGATAACTGCAACCTCTGGAGACACAGGATCTAAACTGCCCAACTTAGTTGCTCCCAAATTCCTGACTCACAGAAACTGTGAGAAAAATACATACTTATTGGCAGTTTGGCTACTAATTTTTAGGGAGCTTTGGAATGTTAGCATGATATTATCCGATTTTGGTACCTTGTCAGGGATACTATTGAAAGCTAAAAGTGTCTTGAAGATAAAGATAACTTTTACTAGGAACCTGGAGAGTTCTGAGGAGGCAATAAGTGAGGACTTATGGAAAACCGAACACTGTTACTAGAGACAACAACTCATTTTTAAGAGTTTATAAATGATTGAGTATTGGAAGGTGTAATGATTTAAAAATAAGTCTGCAAGCCAGGCATGGTGACACACCATGTTATGCACTAGTAGCAGAAAACCTAGCAAACTCGTTGCATGTGATAACATGAACAGTAGAAAATAATACCTCATGAACTTGGGTAATTTAGCCAAGTAAGCTTCCAAGAGACATGCTGAAGATGCCACCTAGGTTCTTGTTGCTTAAAAGAAAGTATAAGAATTGAGATAAGCTAGGGGCTGAAGTTGTGGTTCACAGGTAGAGCGCTTGCCTAGCACATGCGAGGCGCTGGGTTTAATCCTCACCACCACATAAAAATAAATAAATAAAATAAAGGTATTGTGTCCAACTACAACTAAAAAATATTTTAAAAAAATAATTGAGATAAGCTAAAGAACAACTAAACAGAAGTGGACCAGGGGGCTGCAGTTGTGACTCAGTAGTAGAGCACTTGCCTAGCATGTGAGGCACTGGGTTCCATCCTCAGCACTGCATAAAAATAAAGGTATTATGTCCATTTAAAATTAAGGAATTTAAAAAGAATGCCATCCGACAATGATGGACCAGGACTTGGCACTCTGTATACAATAATTTACATTTGCATAATTTGCTCAAGAAGCTCCCCAATTCTTATTCATTTTACAGCATCATTCTCAGTCCAGAATTTCCTCAAAGATGAGGATGGCTTTTTCCTAGCACTCTCACTGTTCAAATAGATTAGTCAGTTTTTCATTACTATAATGAAATACCTGAGGCAAGTTAGCTTTATAAAGAAAAGAGGTTTATTTACCTCATAGTTTTGGTGGTTCAAGGCATTGCACTGGCATTGGCTTAGCTCTTGTGAGGCTCTCATGGCCAAATCCTTAGAATGGTGGTACATGTAGGAAAAAGAAGAGATCACATCACACTGCCAAGCAAGAAGCCCAGGAACAGCTAAGGTTATATAGTCCCTGGAGTTTCACAGCCACTTCTGAGAGGACACCTTCAACTGACATAAGGACCCCCCACTGGGCACTACCTCTTTAAGGTAGCACTAGCAAACTGGAGACCAGGCTTCTAACACATAAGCCTTTGGGGGACACTTACTTCAAACCATATCCAAACCATATAGAATGTAAGAAAGTAACCAGTGTGACTCCTGGGGAACAGAAGCCTGACCCACAGTCAAGCCTTCAGATGATTCATCTCATGAAAACCTCAATGCTCCTGAATTTCTGGCCCATAAAACCTGTGAGAAATATTTATTATTGTGTTAAGACATTAAAATTTGGGGTAATTTGTAACAACCATTAATGTCCAGTAGAGAAGGCTCCCTTTAGTATAAAATTCCATGCCATGGACGTTGAAGGCATATAGACATGAAGAAATTGGGAATTCTATTTTGTTTTAAATTTGCCAAGAATCAGATATTTCATTAAAACAGAACTGATACTGAAAGCTTTCTAATGTGTCAAGAACTGTATTATTAAGTCTCATTTGCTAAATACATACCTATAAAACTAATATTTAATCATTTCTTACCAAAGTGATTTGTCCATGCCTATTCTTTGACTTTCACACCTGTATGAATTCCTTGATGTGATTTAAGGGCTGAACCGTATCTAAAGGTATTCCCACACTGTTGGCACACATAGGGTTTCTCACCGGTATGAATTCTCTCATGTTGAACAAGGTTTGAAGAACGACTAAAGGCCTTACCACACTTCTTACATTCATAAGGTTTTCTACCAGTGTGAATTTTCTGATGTTGTGTAAGGTACCCACACATTTTAAAAGCTTTTCCACATTCTTTACATTCATAGGGCTTTTTATCAGCATGAATACTCTGATGTGCAGTAAGGTGTGAACTACGTCTAAAGGTCTTTCCACATTCTTTACATTCAAAAGGCTTCTCGTCAGTATGAACACTCTGATGTAGAGTAAGATTTCTACAGAAAGTAAAGGTTTTCCTGCATATCTTACACTCATAGGGTTTCACACCAGTATGGATTTTCTGATGTTGATTAAGATATCCATGCAAGCTGAAGGTCTTTCCACATTCCTTACATTCATAGGGCTTCTCACCAGTGTGGGTTTTCTGATGTTGCACAAGGTTTGAGCGAGTACTGTAGGCCCTCCCACACTCCTGACAAACAAAAAGTTTCTTCCCAGAATGAATATTCTGATGCCGGGTAAGATTTCTATATAAGGTAAAGGTTTTCTTACACTCCTTACATTCAAAGCGTTTCATACCAACATGAATTTTCTGATGTTGATTAAGGTATCCATACAAGCTAAAGGCCTTCCCACACTCCTTACATTCATAAGGTTTCTCACCAGTATGAGTTTTCTGATGTTGAAAAAGTTTTGAGCCAGTAGTATAGGCCTTTCCACATTGCCCACATTCAAACAGTTTCTCACCAGTGTGAATATTCTGATGTCGAGTAAGATTCCTATACAAGGTAAAAGTCTTTTTACACTCCTTGCATTCATATAGTTTCCCACCTTTATGAATTCTCTGATGTAGAACAAGGTATGAGGCAGTGGTATAGCCCTTCCCACATTCTTTACACTCATACGGCTTTTTGCCAGTATGAACACTCTGATGTACAATAAGCTGATGACTTCTTCTAAAAGCCTTTCCACATTTCTCACACACATATGGTTTCTTGTTAGTATGAATTTGTCTATGTTCAACAAGATTTGAGCACCTACTAAAAGCCTTCCCACATTCCTTACATTTATAGGGTTTTTCACCAGTATGAATTCTCTGATGAATTTTTAGGTGTCCACCTTGACTAAAGGCCTTCCCGCATTGCTGACACTCATAAGGCTTTCCACGGGTGTGAATTCTCTCGTGTTGGGCAATGTGTGAGGAATAAATAAAAGCCTTCCCACATTCCCTACATTCGTATGTTTTCTCACCAGTATGAAATCTCTGATGTACAGTAAGTTGATAACCACTTTTAAAGTTTTTCTCACAGTATACACATTCATAAGGTTTCTCACCAGTATGAAATCTTTGATGGAGAATAAGTTGATAGCTGCTGCGGAAGTTCTTCCCACACTCTTTGCATTCATAGGGTCTCTCAACATGAAACCTATGATGTAGAATTAATTGGCAGCTACTCCTAAATTTTTTCCGGCATTTCTTACATTCATAGAGTTTCTCTCTGCTATATATGCTCTGATGTTGTGTAGAAGATACATCTTTCTCATAAGTGGGCATTTCTAGATAGCTGATTATCTCGCATTGTAAACCCCAATCTGAAATAAGAAAACAAAAAATATTTGTATTTCTATATCAGATGACATAAAACATGTATAAAAGAAATAAGCAACATTCCTAGTAAGTGAATGGCTTACAAAAAAATCTAAAAACACAATCAATGAAGTGTGAAGAAGGCCAAAAAGAATTCAGAGATGTATGGGACTGAATATCAGATAATGAAGTTACTGATCAAGGAAACAGGTAATGTTAGGGTGTGGGTCAGAATTTGTGACAGACTTGTTATAAACCTGCTATCTTGGCACTATTAGAGACCAAATGAATTATAATTCAGAAGAGGAAAAACTTCAGCATCTTTATTTAGAATCTATCATTAATTTAGATTCAATATTTAAGAATTCATCCTTTTAAGTTTTTTAATTTTTTTTGAGAGAGAGAGAAAGAGAGAAATTTTTTTTAATATTTATTTTCTAGTTATCGGCGGACCCAACATCTTTGTTTGTATGTGGTGCTGAGGATCGAATCCAGGCCACATGCATGCCAGGAGAGCACGCTACCGCTTGAGCCACATCCCCAGCCCCATCCTTTTAAATTTCTTTAGTGATTTCTTTTATTCTTAGAATAAAATTCACACAGTAGCCTCAAATAAAATAAAATACCTGGAAATGAATCTAACAAAAGACCTCTACAATGAAAACTATAGAACATTGAAGAAAACCTCAGAAGATGGAAAGATCTCCCATCTCCTGGAGAAAGGCAGAATTAATACTGTCAAAATGATCATACTACCGAAAGCATTATACAGATTTAATGCAATTCCTATTAAAATCCCAATGACATTCTTCATAGAAATATTTGAAAAAATAAGAGCCAAGAATAGCCAAAGCAATCTTTAGCAAGAAAAGTGAAGCAGCAGGCATCACAATACCAGACCTTAAACTATACTACACAGCTATAGTACCCAAAACAGCATGGTATTGACACCAAAATAGACTTGTAGACCAATGGTACAGAACAGGGGACACAGAGACAAACCCACATAAATGTGGTTATCTCATACTAGACAAAAGTGCCAAAAACATTTGCTGGAGAAAAGACAGCCTATTCAACAAATGGTGCTGGCAAAACTGGAAATTCAGGGGCTGGGGATGTGGCTCAAGCGATAACACACTCGCCTGGCATGCGCGGGGAACTGGGTTCGATCCTCAGTACCACATACAAATAAAATAAAGATATTGTGTCCATGGAAAACTAATATTAAAAAATTCTTTCTCTCTCACTCTCTCTCAAAAAAAACCCCTGGAAATTCATATGTAGCAAAATGAAATTAAACCTTTATTTCTCACCCTGCACAAAAATCAACTCAAAGTAGATTAAAGACCTAAGCACTAGAACAGAGACCCCGAGCTTAATAGAAGAAAAAGTAGGCCCAAATCTTTATCATGTCGGCCTAGAATATGAATTCCTTAACAAGACCCCAAAAGCACAAGAAGTAAAATCAAGGATCAATAAATGGGATGAATTCAAATTAAAAAGCAGCTTCTCCGCAAGGAAACAATAATGTGAGGAGAGAGCCTACAGATTAGGAGAAAATCTTTACCATATGCACCTCTGATAAAGCATTGATCTCTAGGATATATAAAGAACTCAAAAGACTTAACAAAAAACCAAACAACTCAATCAATAAATGGGCTAAGGAAGGGAACAGATACTTCACAGAAGAAATACAATTGATCAACAAATATATGAAAAAGTGTTCAACATCTCTAGCAATTAGAGAAATGCAAATCAAAACTACACTAAGATTTCATCTCCAGTCAGAATGGCAATCATCAAGAACACAGGCAACAATAAATGTTGGTGAGAAGAGAAAAACTTCAGCATCTTTATTTATAAAAAGGTACACTCATACATTGCTGGTGGGAGTACAAATTAATACAACTACTATGGAAAGCAGTATGGAGATTCCTCATAAAACCTGGAATGGAACCACCATTTGACCCAGCTATCCCACTCCTTAGTGTATACCCAAAGGACTTAACATACTACAGTAATGCAGCCATGTCAATGGTTATAGCAGCTCAATTCACAATAGCTTAACTATGGAACCAACCTAGGTGTCCTTGAATGGATGAATGGATAAAGAAAATGTGGTATATATTCAATGGATATTACTCAGCTTTAAAGAAGAATGAAATTATGGCATTTGCCAATAAATGGACAGAGCTGGAGAATATCATGCTAAGTGAAATAAGCCAATCCTAAAAAGCCACAGGCCAATTGTTTTCTCTAATATGTAGATGTTAATTCACAATAAGGTGGGGGACACTAGAGAAGAAGAGTGTTACCTTAGATTAGGTAGAGGGAAGTGAAGGGAGGAAAGGGGAAGGGAAGTGGGGATAGGAAAAATAGTAGAATGAAACTGAGATTATTACTTTATGTATATATGTGACTGCATGACCAATGTGATTCTACACATTTTCTACACATTGATTCTACACATTTTCTAAATGTGAGAAATTATATCTCATCTATGTATGATATATAAAGTGCATAAATTCATTCTACTGTCATATATAACTAATTAAAACAAATTTTAAAATTTTTAAAAAATAAAAAAAGAACATAAATGAAAAAAAAATCAAATCCCTCCCTTTCCAAGCAGGTCAGCAGGACTCCTGATACCTATGAGGCCATGTGTCAAAACAGCAACCTGTTTGTTCCCTATATTCTACCACATTCCCTCTTTTTGTCACTTAGAAAACAGTACAAATTTCCTCATTATTAATGCTTTCTATGGATGGTTTAATCTTCCAAGATTCCTTGACACTTTGTAGATTGGATTTTTCTCATTCTTTAGGTCCAAGGATAAATGTTCTTTTTTTAGAAAGGCTGTACCTGCTAACTCTAAGTATGTCTCTTTGTTTTCAATTATTATATCATTTTCTGATTTGTATTCTCCTTATTTACACTTCCCTAAACTTCCTAAAGAGCAGACACTATCCCTCATTGTTTTATCACTTAATTACCAGGTCCTGGCATATCCAAAGTGTTAAATAACTTATTATACTTACTTCAACTAAGTTGTATTGTGCCACATCCACTCTATATATGCTAAATCTGTGTTGTTTCATATCCTTACCTGCGTCCTCATGTCCCTTCTCTTACTGTCCAGATTGGCCATTCTGTACTTCCCAGATAAACATTCTGATAATTTTCATCAGACAATTCAGACATATACTTAGATGAAAATTATAAGGCATTCTTTCCATTTGTAAATGCTGGCAAGAATAAATAATAATATAGAGGAAAGTTCTAGGGTACCAGATGCCTAGAACTGCATTAAAAAAGGATATATTAAATATACACTGAAGGATGGCAATCCAGATTAGATGCAGGAAAGACTGAGCAAAATCCATACAGAATAAAAAGAGTACGGTCAAAGGCAATAAGGATTTTTCAGTGATTCAACTGTGTAAAAACAAGAGAAACAAACATTTCCTAACCTAAAAAAAAAACCTGAATATCAGCAATATCAAAAAACAAAGAGGAGCACTCAATCTAAAAATATTTTCTAACTAAATGCTACGTTGGTAAGTACCATGGACATCAGAGAAGCAGGATGGATGCTCACAAAAAAAAAAAAAAAAAATGTAACTTGGTTGTCAAGACTGAAGATGCCACATGCATACACCAAGAATATGTGAAAAGGTTTACTACATGCATAATGAGGTTTTCTAGAGAGGGCAAGGTAGTTTCCAAGAAGTTGAAAAATAATTGAGACTGGTATGGAGTTTTTATTGATGCTGAGGGTATGGAGCTCCTACAGGTGAGAGGGGGCTTGCATGGTTTGGAACTGCCTCCTGGAATCAAAGAAGAGAGCACCTAGGTTTTTAATCAGATGATCCATAAAAAAGAAAAAGGGGTTAAAAAAAAGAGGAACAGGTCTTGAAAGTTATCAGCATTCAAAAATCAAAGAGTCAGATTCTTGGGGCTGAGGCTGTAATCAGTGGTGGAGTGCTTGCCTCTCATGTGAGGCACTAGGTTCAATCCTCAGAAACACATAAAAATAAATAAATAAAATAAAGTTACAAAAAAAAGTCAGATTCTTTGTTATACTACTGAAATACTGAAACGAGAGAAATACAGACAGGTAAAAAGAAAACCAATTCAAAAAGTACATTAATCAACTACAATGCTTAGAGAAAAAGCTGTTACCTCAACATAATTAAATAAACAATTGATGAAAAAAATCTAGAAAAACCAACAAAGTAAACTAAACAAAAGTAGAAGGAATAGAGATAAATCAGTATGTAATGAATTCTGGAAAAGAATAAAACCAATTCAAATAAAAAAATAACCTTTAAAAGAAAAATAACTGCAATCTAAACATAGTGAAAAAGGAGAGAGGGAAAAAATTTTTAAATTACACTTAAAATTTTGATTAACATTGACATCTCAATAATGTCTACGTGTAAAGAATAAGCCTAAAAACAGAAAGAAAGAGAGAGAGAGAGAAAGAAAGAGTGAGTGAGTTATGGGGCAAGGCAAGTAGTTCCATGGTATGGTATATTCTTAGCATATGCTGAGCTTTGGGTTCAATTCTTTTTTTTTTTTAATTTTTTTTTTTGTTATAATTGGACACAATATCGTTACTTTTTTTTTTATGTGGGGCTGAGGATGAAACCCATAGCTTCACACATGCTAGGCAAGCACTCTATTGTGAGCCATAATCCCAGCCCCTTTGGGTTCAATTTCTAACTCTCCTCCCACAAAAAGAAGACTTATAAAATTGCTCACAAACATATTAGTATGCAAGTAAATTTGAAAATACAGTTGATATTAATAATCTTCTAGAAAAGTATTTGATCAAAACTGACCCTATAAGAAGTTAAAAAGCAGCCTAGTGCAGTGATGCACACCTGTAACCCCAGCTGCTTGGGAGGCTGAGGCAGTAGGATTACAAATTCAAGGTCAGTCTGGGCAATTTATTTAGCAAGACCCTATCTCAAAAAGGGCTGTGGATGTAGCTCAGTAGAGCACACCTGGGTTCAATGTCCAGTACTGCAAGGAAAAAAATAAAAGACAAAAAGCTTTAACAAATTTTCATAGGAAAAGGTAAAAAAGTCTAGCAATATTCAACACCCTGATCCTTTACATGATTGTCTTTCCATATTCCCCACTAGTATAAAAATCTTTATCTTTAAACATCCTCCACTAAAATAGGATAATATCCTTGTATCTTTGAATTATCTTCTTAAAAACACTAATATCTGTTTCTCTGACTAGTCTCCACTAATATCAGAAAATTCTTCAAGAAATGTTTGATTTCAAGAATGGAACCAAGTAAGATACAAGATAAATCTTGGAATCTTAGGCTAAAAGGTAATGAAAATTAAAAGATTTATGGCTTTTTTAAAAAACATGTGTCTGGATATTGAGCTGAGTATACTGATTATGTGGTATTAAACACATTAAGCAAATGAAAAATGGATAAATCCATAATTATTTTTGGAAAACAGAAAACATTATTAAAAAAATTTTTTTGTAATTTTTTTGAATGCCTTTATTTTATTTGTTTATTTTTATGTGGTGCTGAAGATTGAACCCAGTGCCTCACGAATGCTAAGCAAGCGCTCTGCCACTGAGCCACAGCCCCAGCCCCAGAAAACATTTTCAATACATCAAGTCCAATACATCAAGTCAATAATAGAAAAATCATATATATTTTCCTTCCCTCCAACATACTTGTATCAAAGTAACCAAATAGCTTCAGTTGATCATTTCAACAAAAAAACTACAGGGCTGGGGCTGGGGCTCAGTGGTACCATACTTGCCTGGCATGTGTGAGGTACTGGGTTCAATTCCTAGCACTGTGTATAAATAAATAAAAATAAAAGATCTATCAACAACTAAAGAAATATTTTTTTTAAAAAATGGAGGGCTGGGGATGCACCTCAGTGGTGGAACACTTGCCTAGCATATACAAGGCCTGGCATTCAATCCCTACTACCACAATAAAAAAGATCTGCAGACATAATAGGGCTTTTTAAAAAACCACCTGGCAATTCCCAAACTTATTAAGATAAGTATAAGTTGGGTTTGATAGTCCACACCTGAAATCCCAGAGACTCAGGAGCCTGAAGCAGGAGGATCACAAGTTCAAAGCCAGTCTACGAGGCCCTAAGCAACACAGTGAAACCCTGTCTCAAAAATAAAGAATGAGAGGCTGGGGTTGTGGCTCAGCAGTAGAGCGCTGGCCTAGCACGTGCGAGGCCCTGGGTTCAATCCTCAGTACCACATAAAAATAAATGAGTAAAATAAAGGTATTGTGTCCAACTACAACAAAAAATAAATAAATATTAAAAAAAGAAAGAAAGAATGAGCTGGGAATGTGGCTCAGTGGTTAAGTGCCTGAGTTCAATCCCTGGTACCAAAAAATACAAAGTAGAAAAAAAAAAAGATAAGTATAAAGAGTGAGAATAGCGGCGACAGAACTGAATTCTACTGTTACACCCAACAAAATCAGGGAGACTTCATTAATCACAGGAAAAAGATAACATCAATGGAGGAACCCAATTGTTATCCTAATAAAGTATAACATATACTGGATTGTACCACTGATTTGTCTTTTGACAGAATATGCATTACCAATTATGTACCTCAGCAACAAATACTTTAATGTGAATTCCCCTAAGAATAAAAATACTTCCCAATTTACATGAATGTAAAGAGTAGAGAAAAACATAAATTATTCCATACAACAATACCCAGATACATTCAGAAGATAACAAATGTCAAAATATAAGTGGTTTTGTCACTTCAAAATGTCTGTGTCATAAAGGGAATGTGTTAGACTAAGGAGAATTTTGTCACTGCAGTAACCAGGTGAAATGAACAATCTTGCATTGGGATGCTGATTTGAACAAACTAAACTGGGCCAAAAGGGGTAATGCAAGGACAGTTTGGGTTTTGAAGATGCAGTAAAATTAAAATACATTAGAAAGAGAAAATAGAAAAATCAGTGACAAAGACAGATTATAAAATAGTTGAGAAAACAGTGAAACTTTGGTCAAAAGAAAAACAAGAATATCTATGTGTCTATGTACTAAGGTATTACAAGTGGTAGGGATTTGAGATTTTAATTTTTTAAAATTATTTTACTTGTGCTCACTTAGGCAACACATATACTAAAATTGGAAAGATACATAAAAGATGATCATGGCCCCTGCGCAAGGATGACTCAAATTCATGAAGCGTTCTGTATTTTTATACATAAACCATCATAAAAATAAACCATCATAAAAGTATTTTACTTCTTTTTTCTTTTTAAAATATTTTTAAAATATTTTCTTTCTTTTTTAAAAAAATATTTTTTAGTTGTAGTTGGACACAATACTTTTATTTTATATTTTTTTATGTGGTGCTGAGGATCGAACCTAGTGCCTCACACATGCTGGGCAAGTGCTCCACCATTGAACCACAACCCCAGCTCCATACGTACCTCTATTTTCTAATGAACTTTAACACACATAGAGGATTTCTTAATCAGGGTTATTAATTTTATATTCATCTAGTAAAATGGCATGAAATAAAGAAACCAAATCATCAATACAATCCAAAGTCTGAGAAGAACATTTGATCAACAATGATCTAGAACTTCATCAGTATAATCCAAATATTACAAAATCCAATTACTTTCCACTTATACTATAACTGCTTATAAAAATTGACCATTGGGCTAGGGATGTGGCTCAAGTAGTAGCGTGCTTGCCTAGCATGCGTGAGGCACTGGGTTCGATTCTCAGCCCCACATAAAAATGAAATAAAGATATTGTGTCCACCTAAAACTAAAAAAATAAATATTTTTAAAAAATTGACATATACTTGGCTATAAAGTCTCATTGTATTTCAAAGGATCAAAATCATACAAGAGTATATAGCCCGACCACAAAAAATTATGCTAAAATCAACATTATAAAGACTAGACAAAATAAAATTGGAAATTAAAGAATGCTTGTGATAAGTATACTAAATAAACAGTGTCCTGTAATATGATAATAATTATGAACCTTGGAAAATGATGTTTTGACTGAATATTATAAGGCTATAGACAAAAGAAATTGTAAAATTAAAATACATTAGAAAGAGAAAATAGAGTTCATTTGTTTCTCATTGAGGTATGGGTTAACAGTTCTAAAATGTACACTGGGGCTGAACAAGTAAATAAATGAATGGTGGGTGGGGGAAGCCAGTTTTCTCATTATTAAAGAAGGGGGGGGGCTGGGGCTGCAGCTCAGTGGTACAGTGCCTGCCTTGCATGTGTGAGGCACAGGGTTCAATCCTCAGCACCACATAAAAATAAAGAGATTGTGTCCAACTACAACTAAAAAAAAAAAAAAAGTTAGATATGTACCCTGTGGTACTGGATGAGAGTTGAAGACATCAATATGAACTCAAATTTAGCTTAATATGCAAATAGATGGGCAGAGAGAAAAACCTACGTGTAAGTATGTATCACTGAGTATGCATACACGTTTTTCTTTGGTAGGTCTCTAGGACGTCATAGAAGCTATGAGCATAACAGAACCCAGATCTTGATTTCCAAATACAATTCTCTAGTAAAAGGACCAGGGAAGGAAGAAAATAAGATAAATCTGAAATAGTACTAGGAAAGAAGTTCCCCTCAAAATTCAAAGAATGGCGGTTTGAAATGGACATAGGAACCAACTGCAAAGGACTACCAATATTCAAAGCTGGAAAAATATGGGCAACAAAAGAAATAATGTAATATTTAACTATAACTTGAAATATAAATACCAGTCCACACTGATAAAAACAAATAAGAAACAATTTTTCTTATAGAACTCCAAGTAATATTAGATATTGTACCCTATAAAATGTAGTTTATATTTTTAAACAGCCAAGAATCCTCCCACTTTTTTAAATTTTTACTTTTTAGTTGTAGATGGACAGAATGCTTTTATTTTATTTGTTTTTATGTGGTGCTCAGGATCAAACCAGTGCCTCACACATGCTAGGCAGGTGCTCAGCCACTGAGCTACACACCCAGCAGCCCTTCTCCCACTTAAATTTTATATATATATATTTTTAGTTGATGTTATTTTATTCATTTATTTATATGCTATGCTGAAAATTGAGCCCAGTGTCTCACACATGCTAGGCAAGCACTTCACCACTGAGCCATAACCCCAGCTCCCACTTTTTACTTATTTTGACATATTCATATTTCCATAAACCTGCAAGTAAAAGATAAGCTGTTCAATAAAAGCATTTCATATATATAATATACAGAAACTATTTTAAAAGTCTGTTTGTATAATGGTACTAACAAAAAATTAAGATAAATAATTGACTAGAAATGAAACCAACACTAAACCAGGACACAGAAGAACTGCACTTCATTTCAGGAAAAAAAAAATCTGAATAACTCCTACTGTGTTAGAAGAATAAAGTACATTTGTCATAGTATACATCATCATATTCCCTTAAATCATGGACTATTTAAATTTTTTTAAATGAAAACTATTCAGACTTGATTCTGTTTGTACATTCAGAAACAATCATATCATTGGTTACATATAATTCTCTCATCATGTAAAAAAAGCTCAATGGTTTTCTAAGGTCTAATTAACTCAAATGAACTAACAATAGCAATTTAATTAGCACACTCTCAATAAGAGAGGTATAGAAACTGAGCAGTTGAATTTTATTTCCTGCCTATAGCATTGCTGCTACTCAAATGTTTTCTTCATCTTAAGAACTAACAAGGGGCTGGGGTTGTGGCTCAGTGATAGAGCTCTTGCCTAGCATGTACAAGGCCCTGGGTTCAATCCTCAGCACCACATAAAATAAATAAATAAATGAAGATATTGTGTTCAACTACAACTAAAAAATATTTTTTTTAAAAAAAGAATAAGAACTAATGGCCAAAATGAGACTTTCATTATTGCAACAACGCTGTGATCCTTTAATATAATCCTTATATTCGTCTGCCTGTGTGTAGAAAGAACAGAAAACAAAAGCAGGAGGTTAAGACAGGTATGTAAAAGAAACACTGATAGCTATAATTATATCTATTTATTTATCTTAAATATTTTCTAGTTGTAGATGGACACAATACTTTTATTTTTGTTTATTTTTTAATGTGGTGCCAGGTATGGAACCCAGTGCCTCACGCATGCTAGGCAAGCACTCTACCACTGAGCCATAATCCTGGCTCTATGATTATATTTATTGGGAAAAAAAAAACTGATCTGGTCTGCTCAGTGTACCAAAACAAGCAGTTAGAGCAGACATTAGTGAAAATTAAACCTGATAATTTGTTTTTTTCTTTGTTTTTTAGTTGTAGCTGGACATAATACCTTTATTTATTTTTAATGTGATGGTGAGGATCGAACCCAGGGCCTTGCATGGGCTAGGTGAGTGCTCTACCGCTGAGCTACAACCCCAGCCCTGATAATTTATTTGTGGGAAAAAAGCTAGTTCTGAGGAGAAATTTTTCAATCCTTTCCTTATAAACACAACATGAATTTCAAAGATAAGCTAGTAGGCCCAAAAATACAACAGTAATGCTTACAATCCGTCTCAAACAAAAATCAAGTTGAAGACAATTGTTAAAATATCCTTCAGTATGAATATATATCAGCCAATATATCTTCTTGTTTCAATCAGCTTTTGATAAAAATAAACAAAAAAACCCAACAAACTTTTCATAAGAGGTATCACATCTAGAAGTGATAAAAATAAATTAGTTCCTCTTTCCCCCCAAGATGTTGTTTAACCTCTAAGATATTATATAAATTAACCAGTGTTCTTACAAAAGTAAAAACCATTGGTCACTCAGAATAATTCCTAATATAATTCTTCAACATTCATGCTTTCTCCATCTGCAGTCTCTAACATTTCTTCATCTTCATTGTCATGTAGATCTTTTGAAATTAGTGGGGTAGCTAATTTAATATTGCGACCTTCATTGTAGTGAAGCTTCCTCTTCATTTTCGAATTGTCACTTTTTTTTCGTCCTTCAGGTGACAGGTCACTATCCTCCTCTCCACTGCTTTCTGGTTCCCCAATCCAATGCTTTGGTTCCGAGGCTTCAGCAGCAGATAATTTCTTAGCTAAGGCATCAGGAGTCCTGGTCAGTGGTTTCGGGGTCACCTCTTATGCTAGGGAAGCAGTGCCTGGGTCCTCTGTTTTCATTAAACCCTAGTCTTTTCTGCTGGGTGATGTGTTCCCAGGATATTCATTTCACCCACTTCTGGGATTTTTCACTCAGCTCCTCTTTTACTCTGATGGGGCTGCTCGGCTGAGGCCACCACCGAGGGAGTCGCAGACATACTGTTCTTCAGGATCCCCTTGATGGGCCACTGCGAGGTCAAGGCAGTCCAGACTGTGGAGGCCACCATTGCCGTCTTCTCGGGTGTCTGCTCAGGGTCCAGGAAGAGAAGGTCGGTTGCTAGCAGAGACAGCGGGGGAGCCCATTTTAACAGCTGCATTCGCTGATGCTGTCACAACACTGGCACACCAACGTCACTATCATGACACAATGACCCAATGCCACAGACAGTGCCGCCAGGCAGAGGGCGCTAGCCGGCCCTTTATCAATGGGCCACGGAGACAGGGGCCTGCTGCCCCAGCCGGGAGCGACTATGACCAAAATTCCCACTCTAGTGCACCTAGACCCTGGAGGGGCCAGAATTAATGAGTTGTTTCTACATTCGATTTTTTCTTTCCTCCGATATTGGACACTATCACTGAATTACATTCCCAGCCCTTTTTATTTTACTTTTTCAATTTTTCAGACAGAATCTTGCTAAATTGCCCAGGCCAGCCTTGAACTTATGATACACCTGCCTCAGCTTTCCAAGTTGTTGGGATCTTGGTATGTATCACCACACCTGGCAAAATGCTTCTAAAGAATATAGCATTGGGCCTGGGGTTGAGGCTCAGTGGTAGAGTGCTTGCCTCATACCTGTGAGGCACTGGGTTCGATCCTCAGCACCACATAAAAATAAATAAATAAAATAAAGACATTGTGTCCATCTACAACTAAAAAAACATTTTTAAAAAAGTCAGAAACTTGGCAGACACACCTTAGGCAAATGATAAAGGATATCCAAGTGTTGTCACATGGATGTCATATACCCTGGATATAGTGTGATCAGAAGAGCATTTCACCTCTGTTACTACCTAAGAACCTATATCTCCAGTCTAATTATAAGAAAAACAACACACCTGAATTTAGGGA